GTCCCAGGCTAGCCTGGAACTCACAATCCTCCTGCCTTAGCCTTCCAAGTACCCAGGATTCCATGAGTGCCTTGTTTTGTTTTGTTTTGGAGACAGGGCCTTACCATGCAACTCTGGCTATCTTGGAACTCACTATGTAGCCTAGGCTAGTCTCAAACTCCCAGAGATCTGCCTGCTTTTGCTTTCCAAGAGTTGGGATTAAAGGTGTGCATCATCACACCTAGTAGCTACCTTGCTGATGTTGTTGAAACTTGTGGACTAACCTATGGCACAGTTGGTCACAGGACATATCCAAAGTTCAGCATTTGTGGACCTAAGGGGAAAATCAGAATGGCAAGCCTCTGGCTCCTTTGTCTCTTTGTGTTTACTGTCTGCTGGGTACCAGTTTCACCCCAAAGCCAGAGAATGCACTGAACCTGTCTGGCCAAGTCCTTTGCCTTGCTAGAGGGGGGTTAGTACCCGGCATCCCTAGTCTCCACAGCTCCCTTCATGCCTGGGAACCTCTCTGTTCTCTATTCTGTTGAGATTTTTTTTTTATTCTCCTTCTTACAAACTCTTTCAGACCCTGTAATTATTCTCCACTCTGGAAACTGCAGGTCATGAATCAAGTGCAGAATTTCCTTTGACTTCTGTTCTTGGTACTGACTGCACAGATGTTGTCTTTGGATGTTGGGTGCTGTTTCACTGACTGAGTGATACCTGCAGTAGCTGCTCATACAGAGAGAGCAGAGCCAAAGTGAGCTCTCACAGAGTCCCACAAACGTGAGTGCTGATTCTGTGCCAAGTGTAGAAATTGCTTTTGAACACCTGCTCTGTGGTAGAGATTGTTCTGGAAGTACGCGTGCAAAAGTCACGCAAATACACCCCTTGCTCTATCAAGACATACAATCTAGTAGGAAAGGCAGACCTAAGAAGTTACATGACCACATATAATTAAGGGCTTAAGAGATTTAGGATCTATGGGTAGAGGGGACCTTAGAGGAGAATGAGCCCTACTTGGCTTCACACAGTAGGTGCTCATTGTATGATTAGCAAGTCATATTAGCCTAATCATCCATGTTTGGCAACAGTCAAGATTCTTCAGCATAAAAAGATGTCAGGGGACACCCTAATTCCCATGTGCTTTGTCCTGTTCCAGCATGACACTGTATGTCTGTTTCTTTTGTTTTCTATTTATTGAATGTTCTTAGAATTTTCAAATGGCCAACTTCTTTTTTTTATTTTTATTTTTATTTTTATTTTATTTTATTTTATTTTTATTTTTTTTAAGGTTTTTTCGAGACAGGGTTTCTCTGTGTAGTCCTGGCTGTCCTGGAACTCACTCTGTAGACCAGGCTGGCCTCGAACTCAGAAATCCACCTGTCTCTGCCTCCCAAGTGCTGGGATTAAAGGCGTGCACCACCACCGCCCGGCTCAAATGGCCAACTTCTTAATTCCCAAGGAAATGTAGCTGTTACTTAATTCAGTTATCCCAAGCCATGTGGACACCACTAAGATGGGGTTTGTTCCTCATCCCCCTATCCTTCTGGAATATTTAGGGCACAGGGCACAGTCACTGGCTGGCCTTGCTGCTCTTCTCCATGAATCAGCAATGGTGATAAACTGTGGATGTTGAACACAGTGGTAGGACTGCCCCGGATGTTTTTGCTCTCAGAGTCTGTGAGGATTCCAGGGCTTGCCAGGAACCTCAGTGTGTTGGGGTGTGCCCATGTGACCTCTGTTATCTATCTGGGGGACTCATTCAAAGGGAAAGGCTCTTATCTGCCCTGGTTGGAATCAAGAAGGACCAATGTGTTCCTCGATGTGTGTGCTGCCAGGCCCTGCGTCCAGAGTTCACGTCGAGATTGCCTGACTCGTGAAGCTGTGTTATCTCATCTCATTTGTGAATGGCAAGACCAGTGTTTCTCTGCCTAAGTCCTGGTTATTCCTTAAAAGCAACCAGTCAAGTGACATGATTCCCAAACGCTGGGGCTCCCTGAAAGTCATGACAAGGAAACTAACTCACGGCCTTAGATCAGTGTCCCTGGTTTGTGGGAATAAAGGCAGTGACAAAAAAGAAGACACTGCCCCATCCCCAGCAGCTGTGGGCTTTTTATACAGAAGAACTTTATGGCCGATATCACGATTTCGGCTTTTGAACTTTTCGATCATGGTGCAAATAGCTTATGTAATGCTTATCACTCCGTTATCTGGTTTGCCAATTGAAGAGTGAGTCCTTTGCATATAATGCAGAAGAAAGTGTGTGGATGGGCTGGTGTAAGAGCGCAGAGGCGGAGTGTGCTGGGTGTACATGAGGCCCTGGGCTCCTTCCCCAGCACAGCCCCTCCAAGTAATAAAGTAGGCACAGATTTGTGGCATAGCATGCACGAACACATCATTATCTTTCAAAGGTCAGTGATTTTATAGGGGTGGGTTCAGGCGTGTGCATACACGTGCCTGTACACATGTGCCTGTACACACATGCCTGTACACACATGCCTGTACACACATGCCTGTACACACGTGCCTGTACACACATGCCTGTACACATGTGCCTGTACACACATGCCTGTACACATGCCTGTACACACATGCCTGT